AATTCCATTAGATTGTGGAGAGTAAGGAGCAGTAGTTTGATGGATTATTCCATTTTCCAAACATATTTCTGCAAATGGAGATTCATATTCTCAACCTCTATCACTTCTGATCATTTTGATCTTTCTATCCAACTGATTTTCAACTTCAGTCTTATATTGCCTAAATGCATCTATTGCTTCATCCTTACCATTTAGCAAATAGACATAACAATATTTAGTGCAATCGTCAATAAAAGTTATGAAATACTTTTTCCCACCACGTGTTGGTGTTGACTTCATGTCACAAATGTCAGTGTGAATCAATTCTAAGGGATATGAACTCCTTGCAACAGATTTATAAAGATGCTTAGCATACTTAGATTCAACGCAAACTTGACATTTTGATTTATTGCACTCAAATTTAGGCAAAACATTTAAGTTAATCAGTTTTCGCAAGGTTTTGTTATTAACGTGTCCCAAACGTTCATGCCATAAACATTTAGACTCAAGCAAGTAAGAAGAAGCGGAATCTTTATTCATATCAACTGCAATTACATTGAGTTTAAAAAGGCCCTCAGTGAGGTAACCTTTTCCTATATACATCTCATTCTTACTTACTACAACTTTATCAGAAACAAATACACATTTGAATCCATTCTTAGTCAGAATTGGTATAGAAACTAGGTTCTTTCGCAATTCCGGAACATACGAGACCCTGTTCAAAGTCACCACCTTGCCTGATGTCATCTTTAGGAGGATCTTGCCAGTTCTTTCCACCTTTGCAACAACGGAATTTGCGATAAACAACTTCTCATCTGTAGGTGCTGGAGTATATGATGAAAATAATTCTTTGTTGGCACAAACATGGCATGAGGCACCAGAATCTATCCACCATTCTCTTGGATTTCCAACCAAGTTGTATTCTGAAAGCATTGCACAAAGATCGACCATCTCTCTTTTGGATTCAGCCAAATTTGCTTGATCCTTCTTCTTGTCCTTCTTAGGACCCCTACATTCAATAGCCTTATGACCACATTTGCCACAGTTGAAGCAACTTCCATTGAATTTCTTCTTAGGAGGATTGCTCTTTGGACCAGATGTTTTCTTTCTTTTCTTTGATTTTGTGGGATCTTCTTCAACAATATTTACTCCAGCTATTGCTGAATTACCACGCGATCTCTTTTCTGCGGCCTTGTTATCCTCTTCGATTCTCAGCCTTACCATGAGATCTTCAACAGTCATCTTCTTGCGTTTATGTTTCAAGTAGTTTTTGAAGTCCTTCCACAATGGAGGTAACTTCTCAATAATTGAAGCCACTTGAAACACATCATTCACAACCAATCATGTATTAAAGATTATGAGAGTATTAAGAATGAACTTAATATTTCCAACATAGGTATTAAATAAATTTATACCTTCAGCAAGGAGATCATGGATTATAACCTGCAATTCTTGAACTTGGGTGACGACGGTCTTACTGTCTATCATCTTATAGTCCAGAAACTTTGCCACAATAAACTTTTTCATTCCGGCATCCTCTGTTTTGTACTTCTTTTCTAAAGCATCCCAGAGTTCTTTTGAGGTTTTCACATTACTGTACACATTGTATAGATCATCCTGCAGGCCACTCAAAATATAATTTTTACACAAAAAATCAGAATGTGTCCATGCTTCTCTTACCAAGAATCGTTTTTCAGGCGGAGTTTCATCCGACATAACAGGAACGTTCTCATTAATGAACCTCTGCAGACTCAATGTAGTCAGATAGAAGAACATTTTTTGCTGTCATCTTTTGAAGTCGACTCCAGAAAACTTTGCAGGTTTCTCAGCCGGTGCTAGGGCAGCATTTGAACGATTGTGTGCAACCGATGTTGTTGCAGCACTTACTGTTCCAGCATTTATTTGACTTGAATTAGTCATTTTTCTGTCACAAATGGCAGACAATTTAGTATGTGAAATACTACTAGTAAAGAATAAATCCTTACACAGACTGTTTCTGATTTAACGATAAAGTTTTTATGTTATTTTAATCGTTAACCAAATGAATTTTAAAAATTCAAACAGAGTAGAAAACCATAAAGGTTTTAATCTCCAGAAACCTCAAATACATAAACTATTTAAATTTCTTAAGCTTGTTATCTCATGTATTCAGATTAGTCAAAAATACAGAAACAGAAAAAAAATGAAATTGACAGAATGATTTTTAATCCGAGTCCACAGAAACCACTGTGTTTCCTTAAGAAATTTAATCCCCACATTGTACCCGAGGTTGCAAATTAATACCTCCCATGATAAAACGGATTAACCTGTTAAAGAAGTAGCGGTACCTCAAACTTCAATAACTTCAGCGAACGCAAGAACAACAACAAGAGCACACACAGACTCAGTCGATCGACTATTTTATTTATGTAAGAATATGTATGCAGAGAGGAAAAATTTTCAGTGTTTGAAAAAATGAAAAAGACCTCTTATTTATAGCCATTTGCAGAAAGGAACGAGTCTGTTCAGACCCGTTTTTTCCAGAACATTGTGTCCTTTGGGAAAAGTAACGACTTTTCGGAAGGATTACCGTTTGGGAAAAGTAACGACTTTTCGGAAGAATTACCGTTACACGTGAATTTCAATTAAATTCAGTTGCGCCAAATTAATTCTGCTATTTAATTAACATTCTGAATTAATTTATAAGAGAAAGGAAATGATTTAACAAGATTGATTAAATAAATTTTGTCCAAAAATATTATCAATCAATCACTTGCCAAATCCAAATCCAAATCCGAAGCCGAAGCCGAAGCCGAGGCCGAGCGAGCACCTTCTTCTTAACCCTTTAAGAACTAAAGGAAGTGTTTCCTAATATAAGAACAACAATTTCCTTTCTTCTACCAATATGGTAAAAATGACCTTTCATTTGCACTTTTGCAATGATGACTTTTCATTTTCCCTCCAAAATTGGTTCCCCCACTTTCATTGGTTCTTCCACTTTCCATTTTCTCTTTTTATTTCCCATTCACACCTTGCTAAACCCAACAGGTAAGACCATGAAATATTATTATTTTGTAGAGGTATTATTTAATCGATAAATTAATATTTATTAATTTAAAGAGTGTCCGGCATCAAAAAATTGTTAAGGGATGGAATCTCAAAGAATTTGAAAGAACCCACTTGTGAAAACCTCTTTCATGAACTTGAGGTCATGATTAATGATCTCGGTTACCGCAATAAAATGGTCGATAATAACCTATTGGATGAGTGAAATTGATACATGCTCAGATGTCCAGAGTTAAAAACAAATTGTGGATATCATTGGAAAAACAATGTTAATGATAAAGTTGAAGATGATACAATACTTTTGGAAGCAGTTACGCGTAAGAAAACACTTGCATCTAGAACTCTTCAAATTTTTAAAGTGCAATAAGAAAAGACAACACCGAAACTTTTTTGATGCAATAAGAAAAGTTAGAGATAAGATTTAACTAGATTTAAATTTTAACAAAAAAATAGAACATAATAGAATCATATTTCACTAAATTTTCTTAGATATATTTGTACTTTTAAAGAATTATTAATTTATAATATCAATGGGATCATATATTTATACAGGAGTTTTCTAAAAATATATTATCTTATTATCTTATAAAAATTAGTAATTTTTTCCACTAGCTCAAATTGAGATCGAAGGAAATTATTATTTTAAAAAATTTATTAATTAATAAACTATTAATTTAGTGAGATTTTACTGTTGGACTAAATGGTTCCGCCTCGGCCTCTGCTCAAAAGGATACCCATATAGAGTATAGCCAAATCTGAAGTGCAAAAATTTGAGCGGTCATTTTGGGGTGGGAAGGCTTCTATATTTATAAAATATATATAATTATCATGTTTGATCCGATTATTTTGTCTAATATTTATTATTTGTTTATGTTCCGCTTTATGTATTAGAGAAACCTTGTTATTTAATTTGTCTAAAATAGAATATTATATTTAGATTTTAAAAGATATATATGTTTGTAACAAATTTTAAAGTGACAGCAAATAAATTATAATCACAAAAAATATGAAGAAATATAATTGTATTCATCAAGATTACGGGTACAATTATGTTCCTTCCTTGATTCTCCTCTCATAAGATTTATCCATGATTCGAGGGCCGTTAGTGGCGTATTTCTCGAACTAGAATGATTTAGATTTGACCTCTATATGAATATTTCATGAATTTGCGAATATTCGAGATCTTAATCTTTAAAAAACCCAAGAGTTTATGGAATATTTGAGATGTCTTTTAAGAGAATTTAGTATCTTTTATATAGACATAAACTAGACTTTAGGATTGAGTAGCCTCCAAGAATCCTAATTTGAGTTGAACACAATTTGTAGAGTCCCAGCTCAAATAAAACACATCTTGTAGAGTGCCACAAAATTTCAATGTCTACGATATAATATTATTGTTTTGAAAGTCTAAGCATAGGGCTTTATCCTAGATATCGTAGGGTACGCACTAAAAGGTTCTCTTTATGAAAATGGGATTTGCTTTATTTGACATCTCATATATTATATAAACCATGTTAGTTACATGATCCCCTTTATACTATAAGGTAGGTCAAGTCATAATTTGAAGTTGAGATGTTGTCTCATGTACATTTTGTCTTTAAATAAACAATTCAAAATACCTTATCCTCTTTTGTCTCTCTGCCTTTTCCTTTTCTTTTTTTTTATGCGGTATTTGATATTCACATTGAAGTCCGACTAAATCTAGATTCGTGCCGAAAAGTCTCACATTGATAGGTAAATGGCTCCCTAACAAAGGCGACTTCGTATCCAAAAAAAATTGAACTCGAGATCTCTTGGTTAAGAATGAAGGAGTAGTTGCCACTTCACCACAGTCCTTGTTGGTATTCTTCCTTCTCCTTAATACTATAGCCAAGTACACATATATATATCATGGCATTGCCTTTTCTTTACAACTTATATATTATATAAAAAAAAAAAAATCCAATTGTCTATTATTTCTTTCAAAGAAGAAGAAGAAGAAGAAATGGAAGGAGAAATGGATGGTAAAGTTTTTCAGACATGTCAAAAGAGTTTTGTTCAAGTTCAGAATATATTGGATCAAAATAGGCTGTTAATCAATGAGATTAATCAGAATCATGAGTCCAAAATCCCTGATAATTTGAACAGAAATGTTGGTTTAATTAGAGAACTCAACAACAATATCAGAAGAGTTGTTGACCTTTATGCACATCTTTCAGGTTCATTCAACAAATCTAATGATGTTTCATCTGAAGGAGATTCCTCTGGAAGACCTACTCACAAAAGGAATAGGCCTCTCTAAAACGTCAGAGATTGATTTGAGGTCCGATTATCATCAGACAGTTGATTGTAGTTTAGCCTCTTCCTTCCCACTGGTCAACATTCTAATAATGATATTTGTACCTTCAGATCTAATTGAAACAAGAATTTAATTTTTTTCTTTTATTTTGTCTATATATATTTCAAAATCAATTGCCTGTTGAGGGGTAATTGTTGTTGTAAACTGTACTGAGGCCAAAGATATTGATTTTCGTAAAAGGGGATAGATGTTGTAAGCTTTTTAAACTTTTTCTTTGAGGATTTGTATGTGGAGAACTTAGCAGAATCAAGGAGATGCTCTCAAATTCTCTGTAGAAAAAACAGCTTTAAATCCAGATCGTAATTTCATATCAACGTTTATTTATCATATTCTGAATAAAACTTTCGACTTCAAACTTCGATTGAAAATCTCAAATTCACTTCAATGGTAGAATTTAATTTTAAATTTTCTATAATTTAAAAGTTAGCCCCATAATTTTAGATTTTGAAACAAAAAAAAAAACTCATCTTTATTACAAAAAATAATAATTAGCCAACCCACTTTCCCCTTTTCATAAAAAAAAAACATCCTAAAGTCAGTTGGTGTTACGGCGAAGAATCTTTTGTTATAATTAATTTAGGTAGAATTGAGGGAATTTTTAATACTCTCTTTTATTCAATTTTTTAAACTGATTTTGACTTGTTATAAAATTTAAGAAAGTAAAAAAAAATTAATCTTATAATTCTTAAATATATCACGTGAAAAGTTGAAATTAAAAAGTTATAAGAAAAATATTTTTTTAATGAACAAAAAATAGAAAATAAAATAAACAAATTAAAATATAAAAGTAATTTGTACAAATTTTGAGTTTTTAAGATGATGAAAAAAAGTATAATTTCTTTGCAAAACTTATGACCAAATATAATTTCAATTTCAAATTAATATAATCCAGGTTAATAATTTCAAGTTCACGTCCAAACACTTGCTAACTCTTTTTTATTTCCCAATCACAGAGCACTACAAGATGAGAATCTAAATAAGAAATGATGTGGCTTTTTGACCAAAAAAAATTAGTAAAACTTTGCCCCATTTGTTTATGTTTATTGTTGTTCCATCCAATGAGAATATCTTGGAGAGCATTGATAGGGAAAGATATAGATAGTAAATTCTATGGATGTAAATAATTTAATTCATAAATAAATAAAAAGCAGTTTGGAAGTTAGTTTAAAGTCCAAATAAATATATGTGTGAACAAGTGACTCCTTTAAGATGCAACTTAACTTCTATGTGCTTATCCCCAACTCAAAGTTTCTTTCTAGTTACCTTTTATTTTCTTTCCTTCATCAAAGTATATCCAATAATGTATTCACAGGTTCCATAAAATTTAGTATTGAATTTTTTTTAAATATGTCGTCGAATTTTTTAAAATGATTTTGTCATGTCATCCATTAATAGTTAGGATTATTGTATCATCATCATCATCATAACATAGTCGGTTCATTCATGCTACGTACTAACTACTAACGGACCTCTACTATTACTAGAATTTGTTAACGACATTATCTTAGCTCTTCATTACTTCTCAGCCCTCACTCCCTTTCATGAGTCATTTCATTAAATTTAATATCATATTTAAATCTTTTCTCAATGGCTTATAATTAGAGTTGTCAATATGGATTGGCCCATCCCATCCGAGCTAACCATATAAGCTTTGAAATTTGACGAGTCAAGCTGGGCTAGCCCATTTTTTGTGTGGACCAGAAAATGATCGGTCCAGCCCGCAAGTACGTGAGCTACGGGCTTTGCCGGATCAACCCTCTTTTCTTAAAAGTATATTTTTTATAATTTTAAATTATAATTTAAAAATATTATCATAGATATCGACAAGACAATATTACATGGTGTTAATGTTACTACTTGTTAATCAAATACACAAAAAAATTATCTTTATAATATTTATTAAGTTTGATTTCAAGTAAAAGCATAAATAGTTAAATATAAATATTAACCTAATTGTTTTCCAATGATCATAATAAAACACAAAAAAATATGACAATATTCCATAGGTTATGGCCTATGTAGTGATTCGCTAAAAATTTTAGGGAATTTTTATTTTATGTAGTACATATTTTATAAACATAATTTGTATTTAAATTGTAATATTTCAAACTTTAAACAAATTTTGAATTTAGAGTCTTGTTATTTTTAATACTCTATTTTATTTTTATTTTTGAATTAATTTTTATTTGACCCACGGGCCGGCCCTATTTATATTTCTCAAGCCCCACAAATCGACAGACTTATTCAGGCCGGGCTAAAAAGTTGTTTTCTTAAATAGACTCCAAAAATCGTAGCCCAACCCTATCAAATCACGAGTTAGGCCATATCGGCTCATCATGTCTAGCCCATATTGATGACTCTGCTTATAACATGTGACTCTCATGAATAATGAAATTAAGGGGAAACTAAGCATATGCCCCATAAAAGCATAGTAATTACAGATTTATACCCCTTTATATTTATGCTCCCTCACTAATTACAAAAAAATGCTCCATTTCTTTGTAGTTTTAGTTATTTAACTCCTTTTTAATTCTTTTGCTTTTTATTTCTTTGATTCTTTTTTTTAAAAAAATATTTTATTATTTTTTACACCATAATTTGATTAATACCCAATGTTTATTTTATATACTTCCTTTCTTCTTTTATTTTCTTTTTTCTTATTTATTTCTTTATTCGTTTATTTTTTTCTCTACTCTTTTTAATCTCGTGTCTTTTTTTTTATGCATTTTTTTCATTTATTTTTTTCAAATTATTTTATTCTTTATTCTTACACTATAATCAAATTATACTAAAAATTTATTTTATATACTCTCTATCTTTTTTTCTCATTATTACTTTATTCGTTTATTATCTCTATTTCTTTCTTTTTCTTTTAATTTTCTCATTTTTCCTTTTTTTTTTCTCCTTTATCGGTTTCTTTTATATTTTTTCATATTTTTTGTTTTTTTTCTTTATTTTATGTTCCTTTTCTTTTCTGTTCTCCTCTTCTTCTTTTTTCTAATTATTTCTTTATTTTTAAAATATTTTTCTTCCTTTCTCATTCATTTTTTTCTCAAAGCATAATATTCTTTATTTTTTCACTACGATTTAATTTCATGTTTTTGGTCATTCTTTATTTTCTTTTATTTTTATTTTTTCATTTAGTTAATTTTCTTTCCATTTTTTCTTTCTGATTTTTTTTCATCTGATTCAGTCTGTAATGACACTTTACAATATATCTATATACTTTCATGGTATCATGGACGTATGGTTCAATACTTTACAGAGATGTCATTGTCACACCCCGAGGCTACCCCTTGACGTAAAACAGAACCTAGGATCATGAATGACCCCAAGCTAATTCTGTGTCTGGCATATATCAAGCATACAGAGAATCACTGAATAAAACATGTACTATGCGGAAGCTAAAACATGGATAACTGAAAGTGGGGAATACTCAACTAGCCTGAATGTATAAAATATACTAAGAGTTTAATAACAACCGAAAGAATGTCTGAAAAACCTCTAACTAAGTTGAGTTGCTGGGACATGGCCCTAACTAAATCTACCAATATTGAAAACTGAAAGTAAAGACTAAAATGAAAGGATGTCTATTGTCCTCAGAAAATGAGGACTCACCACTGAAGCTGCTGAATGCAGACTGAGAATCGATCTAAGCGTGATCTGGATGCTGAGTACATGAACCTACATCATGAAAAGATGTAGCGCAGAGTATGCGTTAGTATTTGAAATGTACTGAGCATGCATGATATAGATAATAAGCTGAACAAATATATATATATATATATATATATAAGCTGAATAAAGCATAACTGAGCAAGAATGTAAATACTGAAACATAACTGAAAAAGCTATGTTGAATGCAATGACCAAGTACTAATCATGAAAATAACATTATGAACTGAATGTTGAAGTATATACTGGAAACCTGGTCAAATGAACTACGAGTCTGACTGTTTGAGCTACTATTAACGTCCATAAACCACGTGAGCTAAACGTGAAGTCCGATGTATACGCCTCATCGAGAGGACCCAATATACCTTGTCAAGGATATAAAGGCATGTCTGACGTGATCACTAAATCTGATGCCCAACAGAGGGGACTTATAATCCTAAGGGGGCACGTACTTCTGGGACTATGAGGGTACGCTGAATCCTAGTCCAACTCGGTACTAATTAAGTCTACTCCCAACTGAATATGTATATGACTGAAATGTGACTAAAATACTGAATAGCTCAAAATACTGACGAACCCTAGTCCAACTCGGTACTAAGTCTACTCCCAACTGAATATGTAAATGACTGAAATGTGACTAAAATACTGAATAGCTCAAAATACTGACATGCAATCTGAGAATGTAACATTTATATACTGATAATGTGGCATTCAAAATTTGGAGCATGATTATTTGTTTAACTGACCTAGCAAGTGTAATTCATGGTGAAAAAACCCCCAAGTTAGGGAGGATGATCATGAATTGGTGTAGGATTAGGATTTGGTTATAATTCAAGTGTTAATAGGCTATTGTTTATTGATTGTTGAATATTTTTGTTGTATTAGACCAAGAACAAGACAAGGCACTTCAAAAGGGAAAATCTCAAATTTTTTTAGAGTCCCAAGAGGCTTGATTCGAGTTAGGTGATGATTGTATGTTTCTGATTTATGTATGTATGCATGTCTACTACTTTATAGTATCATTTGCACAATACATGTTAGGGAAAACGTTAAAAAGCATATGGAATAATATCATATTCATAATCTCTTATAATGGACCTGTTACGTGACTTGTGGCTTTCAAGTGGTAGTGTTCATTGTATTTGTAATTGTGCATGCTTATTTGTAATTATTGATTCTCTTGGGTACCATGTCTGGTATTTGATATCCCATGGTTGGATTAGACACCATGTCTGGTATAAACTAATGGTTGGCTCGGATACCACATCCGGTACGAAAATATCTTTATATGGTTGACTCGGGTACCACACCGGTACACTTACTAAGGATGGCTTGGGTACCACACCGGTACACTAACATATTGAGTTTGGGATTCATCATAGGACTAGGTATGTGTTTATGGTTC